GAGTTTTGCAAATATCAGTTCCACATGCACATATCAGTTCTGATATCTACCTACCACCTCAGTTTTGCAGGCTTCCCCATTCCCAGCCTTTTCCTCTGTAGAGTGAAAGGAATCTCAGATTTTTTCATAAAGAAGATGCTCCATCCCTTTGCCATTTTAGTTGTCTTTCTCTGCACACTCTCTAACTTTGATAGCTAAAGCAACCACTTTCAGAGTAAGCTCACAATCCAGAAAAGAACCATATTTCCAATCTGAAAAAGTTAAATAAAGTATGTGGAAAATTCATATTTGGTCTACTATTTATGGCAGACCCTTGATTTATCACTATTAGCTAGTTTTAAAATATGCTTAGCTGCAGCTGGGTATCTGTAGCTGGAAGTTGATAAATGCAACTGAAACGACATGGGGTTTACTTCTTCCAACAGAGGTTTTAGCTATCAGTACTAAAACCTAATAAGCCACATGAATACCACTTTACCATTGCTCATTAAAGTCTGTATAAAAGTCTGGTTTTGGCTGTCACCAGTTCTATGTGAAGAAACCAATCAGGTAAATTCAGCACTGCACTCATTTGCAAGTCTATCACAGAGATGCAAAATCAGGTAATTAAATTTCCACAATTCTCCCCACCATTAATATGCACATAGCCCGAGGCTAAAAAGTAAGAGGATTTCAATAGAAAACTACTTTGTTACTGAAAAAGGTGTTTTGCCATAACAATTGTTTTATTGCCCATTCTGGGCTGGAAAAATAGCTCAAATAAAATTAAGTAGCATTTCCATGACCCAATTAACTCTAAATTTCAGTTTGAACCAGCACCAGAAGAATTTGAGCACTGATTCTAGAAGTGGCATTCATTCTACTTACACCAATAATATTGGGATGGCTTAGCTCCTGTAACAATTTTATCTCTCTGAGGGCTGTTCTGTTGATTCCTACATTGAAAAAACAAACAAAGCAAAAAAAAAAAAAAAAAAAAAAAAAAAAAAAAAAGAGAGACAGAAAAAAAATTCAAAATTTTGGATTACGCTCCAAAGAAACCTCTTATTCTGTTACTCACCGATGATTTATTACTACAAACTACTTTCTTACTACTCAACAATTTTTAAACTAACAATTTCATTGCCACAGATAAGTAGAGTTCTACAGAACAAAAGAGGACATACACTTTCTTCTGTAGCAAATAAATTCTACACCACAATAAATGGATTTAGATTATGAAGTTACACGTCTCCCTTCCCTGGCAAAATGGAAAAGTTCTAGCAAAAGTCTAGAAAAAAAACCACCTTTTTCAGGGTATTGTAAACTTTGGTTTTATTTTAAAGAAAAGGTACATCTTGCAAGTATCAGTACTTCATTGTGCCTCGCTTGCAGAGGGAGACACAAGGACAAACTTCATGAATATATCTCTTTTCTTTTTGACATAACATTATTAAATAAAGTTAAGGGACATATGTTTTCCTATATTCATGCTGAGATGTAAAAGGTACAGTGGCCAAAACCTGCTCAACCTTGCTCGACTCCTTTAATAGCCAGATTTTATAAGAGGAAAAAACAGGGGGGGGTGGGGGGGGGTGGAGTGTTAACAGCTTGTACAAAAACTGACCGGCAAGCAAATGCTCCTGTGGTATACTGTGCATGAAGTTTCAGCTGCACATGAGCTAAAAATAAGTGTTCCCCCACACCTGGAGTACGATTCAACAAGTAAGACTCTAGCAAGGTTTTGAGCAAAACTACATGGATTACTTCACACTTCTGCTTTTTTAATTACCTATTTTGGAATGAAATTGACAGTGGTTTCTTTTGGTTGGGCAAAGCTTTAGATTAAAAGTACAACAGTTTATCAGATAACACTGGGAAACCAGACATGATCATTATTTTTAGACATTATTTAGACTTATTTTGACATCTTTGTACTATTACTAGACATTGTGTAGGCCAGAAGTAGTAACTGTCCTTAAAGGACATTAGTTCACTGAAGGCCAGGTGGACCATGACTCTCTAGCAGTCTGCTCGTGAGATTCTGGGATGAGTGCTCAAGTTCCTCTTTAAAAGTTCTTCCCTTAGGAAGGAACTAGAGAGTGGAAAGCAAAGATTCTTCACCAGAAAACTGGTAACCTAATGCAGGACCCCTGAAGGATGGCAGCCTACACACAGAGAAAATTCTACTGCACCACACAGGCTGCAGGAAAACAGGATTATCGGGGTTTTATTTGCAATATCCACACCTAAAGGCACATGGCTGGTCAGAGCACATGATCAAAAGACACTGCTCTATAAAACTGATTTCTCAACATAAACCCACACAGAAACAAGAGGTTTAAGATCTTGTTTTTATCAACTTTTGTCTCAGCATAAATCACAAAAATAGAACAGAAACATCTGAAAACCTGTTTTAAATATGTAAGGCGCAGATGCATCAATACAAAAAGCTATTCTAAACTCAGTGCCGTAAAGATTATTATTCTACACTACATCCATGTTTGTACTCCACTTAAATTGAGAAGCTACGTTGTTATATACTCATATTTAGACATATATGCAGACTATTCATGCAAATATCTCTCCTGCTTTTTTCTGCAGTTTAGAAGGCAATCCTCTACTAAGCCTTACACTGAGAGTTGAGCTCATTTTTCTCAGACAAGTTATGGTGTGGGAAGTTTATGTACCAATTTACAAAAAGAAACCAAACAAACCACAGCTTCTGCCGCATGAATTTGTTTTAAAACTCACCATCTTTAGCTTCCGATCTATGTCCCAGTTTAATCTGAAAAGAAATGCTTTGCATTATACAAGGTTAAGCCACCTGCCCCAACAGTAGGGGATACATTCTTTCGTCTTATTCTTCTAAAATAAAATGTGTTTCAGTACCATGAAGCACTTTACCAGGTAGGGTTGGTTTTGGGTTGTTGGGTTGTTTTGTTTTGTTTTTTTTCCTCTTAAAAAAATAATGGCCTCTACAGCATTAGTTTTTATAAAAGCTTAAAAGTAGTCATGATGGTGCTGAAAACAGACATAATGCACACTGGCAGCATAAAATGCTTTGCAGCCACAAACTAGCGAGCTTCTCCTCAGGGAGAAGTGAGGGCAAAGTACTTGACAGTTGTCTTCAAATTATTCTAGTAAAATTAGCACTGAAATTTTCAAGTCCAGAATCAGAACACTGATATTTCCAGACGATAAAAGAAAATATTCTGACAAAAACAAGAATGCTTTTCATAACAGTTGCTACTAGTAGCAACCATACGAAAAAAGTATTACAATGCTAAAAGATATTAGTGTATCAAACAAAATTACTTACTATTGATATGGTTCAACTTGCCTAGGAAAGTAGGCTGTTTAACTAACCAGAACAATGTAACATGCATTTTTCATCCCTCACAAAGCACAGCTAATAATTTATTTTTAATACAAAAACTTCCTGCAATCTCTTCAGAGAGTATGAAGTGAAACATGTTACGACAACATAGGCATATTCAACATTTGTATTCAAACAGGTAAACTGTAGATCTACGATCATTTTTGTCAAATTTTATCAAAAAATTACCACAACTTCTAAATAACTTAATCAGGAATAATATTCCTGGAGACTTAAGGAAATCGGGCACAGCAGGAGGTAAGGCTAAAAAAAGAAAAAAGCCACTGTCAAGGACTAATAATGTCTGAAGTTTGGAAATAAATCTAACAAATAATCACAATTTCAAGTTACAGACGAGGCAACCTTTCATAAGCTCAGAAACGTAGTAAGACTGAAAGTAGTCTTCTTGGGGAGGGGGGAAGGCCTTAAAGACAGGCTATCTAGATCTAGAAACAAAAATCTGCCTTCACCTATTAAGTCGGGTCAAAAACACTTATTAGGCGGGTCAAGAACGACCAGACACTTGATCATACAACGGGAAAATATTTTGACACTCACCTTTTTAATAGCCACGATTTGGTTGGTGGTCTTATCCCTCGCTTTATAGACAGTAGCAAACTGCGGAAAAAGAGCGGCTCCCGTGACTGCCGGGGCAGACGAGCGGCAGGGCCTGTCCGTACCCGCGCAGCATTCTCAGGGGTTCGGACGCTGCCGCGGCAAAGGCGGCCCCTGGTCCTAGATCCTCAGGCTGGAGCTGCCCGAGCCAGGTCCCTCCCTCGGGAGGAGGCCGTTAAACCCTGCTGTCAGCACGCTGGTGGGGGACGACCTCCCCACAGCGACCGCCCCTCTCGCCCTACAAGCGCGGCACCCCCGACCTCGCAGCGGGGCCCGCCGACACATGCAGAAGGCGACACGGGGCCAGGCCCAGCTGCAGGCGGCCCCGGGTTCCCCACGCCGCGGCCCCATCGGTCACGACAGGGCCCTAACAGGGGCCGCCTAAGGGCCCTTCACAGCGGAGACTCCCGCGTCCGGACGCTCCCGCTCCTCCTCCCCACCCCACCTCCCACATGCCCTGCACGCCACACGCACGGCTGTTTCCCCTCGCCCCCTGCCGCGCCCCAGCGGCAGCTCACCTGCCCTTCTCCCAAGAAGTCCAGCTTCTCGTAGCGCCTGGCCCGCGCCCGCGCGTCCATCG